CCTTATGCTTCTAGCATTAAGGAGTCAGTCATTCCCTAGAGAATTTGCTTACTTTGCGGTACATTTATATATATACAAATTGGTCACTCCATTATTACTATAAATTTCGTTTGGCAGAAATATAGTATGAACTTCAAGTTCAATATTTATTGCGTGGTTTGAAATAATTTATATTTCACATAGTTCACGACATTAATAAACTTATGCTCATATCTCCCCCTAATGCCGTGAAATCATCTTCATATATTATGCAAAACACGTACCAAATAATAAACTGATCCCCTATAATGGCCTCTAGGTATTAAAATTTTGAAGGAGTATAAAAATCATAGCATACCTAGTTTGTAATATAGGCCCATAAAGGTACGAATTTGTGGTGATAAAAAAGAATAGTGCATAACAATAAATTGCAGATGGGAAATGTTCGATTCTACACGCATTTTAGGGAGAAATTATCATAAATAATTGCCAGTATGATCCAACTGCTCATGCTAACTATCAATATATAAGTTGGGCATTGGAGTATAATAATCATTTCTAAGTGAACACTATATGCTTCAGGCACTACAACTGAACTTTGATTGTGAGCCTTTTATTGTAGTTGTCAACTATATTATGTGCTTCAGGCATATAAATTTAATATTGTAGCTATCAACAATATAAGTCAGTGGTATGCATCTTATCAAATATACAAGCAAACATAAATATTTTCAGAATACTTGTGTATAGATTCAATCTATGTAACATTCTGGTTACGTAACTTCATTAAGAGTATATTGAATATGCAGAGCTGATCTAAAATCAAAATATCATGAATTTATCCAAAAATCAACGAGATTATTTACTAGATCAATCTTTTAAAGATACTCACTAGATAATTCTTATGCAATTATGATACTGGTCAACAAGGTCAATCCTTCAAGGATAACCAAATCTAGGTCGATATTTAAATTCACTAGCGATATTTTTAATTATATAATCCTTCAGGGAAACTCAAATCTATAGACATAAAATTCAACAGGATATTTGCTCTGCAATTCATGACAAAATGATAAAATAACTACATGTATACCATTCATTAGGTTCATTAGTCAGTTAGACTAAAGTTCAAGATACTCAAATTGATTTAGGCTCAGCACGTCCATACTTAATGCATAAAACAACATAACAAAATATGCAACTATAATTTTCAAACTAAATTCATGTCGTAATAGCTTATTTTGATAGTTTCACCATATATGTTCCAAGCAACATACACAATTCACATTCTTAAAATTATTCCACATGTGTTTCATGCGTATTCAGATCCATGGACGAATAATAAAATATGTGGATATTTTTATTTTATAACTCTTCAGGAGTATAACAATTGAAGTATGAGATTTCATTACATAAGTTATATAATATTTTCCTCCATCATCGAAAATAATCATTATCTAGAGGATAATGTCTACTGGACATATCTTACGTGTCTTACCACTTTCAAATCCTAATAAGTAATGTAAAGAATGATATGATACATATCAAACAAGAGATGCTCATATACAAATAAGGACAATTAATTGAAGAAAATATACAGTCTTATAGAAGATAGATAATATTTTACCATATATCTCACATAAAAAAAATTATACTTTTGTATATGTGCTTCTGGCACTAATACAATCTCAATAAACTACTTTTATATCACTCTTCGTAATATATTGTGTCCATGAGTATTGATTTGGTTGGATTTCATTATTCCCATGTATTACTTCAGGAATAAACATATCATAAAATATTTGATAGCATCTTAATTCAAAATTAGTCATCTAGACTTACTCAGAGTGTAATCATTCTTTTATTTCGATAC